TATCTTCAGATAGAGCAGGAGGGAGAGAGGGAGGCCCCAACCGGGGCCGGGGACGAACTGCAACTGAGGTACGTGCCCTCATCGGGAACCAAACCCGGGTCTCTCTGGTCCACGGGCCGACGCTGCAACCACTGGGCAAAACTGGCCAGGGCTAAACCAGCAGACTTTGAATAAAGCACATGACCCTCTGTGATGTGGTGGGCCTCATCCATCATGTGAGACTCAGGAGAAGAAACTAGGTCCCGGAGGAAAAGGAACTCTGGACTCGGGCTGTGACATCAGCTCCTCCCCGGGACTCCAGCTGCTGACTTGCCAGTCACAGGAGTCATTCCTTAAAATAAGTCTCTGTGCACACGTCCCGTAGGTTTTGTTCCTCTGGAGAACCCTGACCGACACAGGGACCTCTCCACAGGCCTTGTGTCCCCTTCTGCCCATCAGTCCCCTCTGAACTGCAGGCCCACCCACGGTCCATCCACTGCTGCCCTTGGCTCAGGGGACAGCCTCCTGAGGGCCGGCAGGTGCCCTGACCAGTCCCTGTGCTTCAGGGGCTGACCTCCCAGCCTACACGTCATCTTTCCCAAACCGACCTCTGTCCCCATTAAACATGCCTTCCCCACCTCCCCCGCACCCCTCTGTCCACTTGCTGTCTTTGTGAACCTGACTCTCAAGGGGCCTCAGGTCGCTGGAAACACACTGTGTCTGTCCTTCTGTCTGGCTGGTTGTGCTGAGGGTCCCCTCCTGTAGCAGGTGTCAGGCTAAAGCATCTGGGCTCTGTGGATGGACCCCATTTGTTGGTCCCCTCCTCCCTGCATGGACACGGGGGCTATCCTATGTTGATCTTTTGCGAATTGATGTACACACTTTAAAAACTATTTTAACAGTTGAATAACAGTCCACATAATAATTTATTTTTGGAATTCAGGTTGAGATAAAAACATAACAAAAACAACCATTAATTTGTGCCCAAGGCAGGCCCCCCCCCCGACACACTTGAGTCCCCCCACATGCGGCTGGGGCCATCTAGGCCACCCCCAGGCTTGCTCCATTTTGTCTGAAGACCATTTTGCCTGTGGCCAGGCCAGGACCGCTGGCTGGGAGGAGCCAAAGGCTGTGTGAGACTGGGAAGTGGCTCCTGGGGTGGGGGGGCAGCCACCCCAAGGCAGACACGAGGCTTCAAGTCCACATCCTGGGCACAGCTGCCTCTGCCCACAGTCTCTTCCTGCCTGGGGCCTCCGGCTGGGCCACTCGTCCTTCTGCTCCAGGGGCTCTTGGGGGCACCCATGACATGTGGGGAACTCAGGCACCCACTGCATGGAAGCTGAGGGCAGAAGGGAGCCCCACACCTCTGTCCACCGTGAGTCAGTGGGCTCAGGGGCCACACACACAGGGCCCCACAGGCAGGTAGGGCAGCCTGACTGGGGTCAGAGGGTACAGGACCCCCAGGAAGGGTTGACTGAGCCTCAGTCAGGGGGCTCCCGTGATTGGGGTGAACACTGTGCTGGCCACACTGCCTGGCTCTCCCTCAGGAGGACCCCTGAGTCCCCGTCTTCTAACTCGGAGGCTCACCCAATGCAGAGGGTCCATCCACAGTGGGCCACTGACCCACCAGGGCTGCGACCCCAGGCCCCCACACTGGTACCCAGCCCTGCCTCTGCGACCCGGAGGGTGAGCTCTGCCATCCGAGCCTTCCTCCTTCCCGGAGACCGGGTCCTAGAGGCCTAACCTGGGATTTGCTGTTTTTTCTTCCCCTCGGGACTTCGGACCCCTAACCGCGGTGTCCACAGACCGGACTGGAGGGCCCAGGGGCCGGCGGGCAGGGGGGCAGAGGGGCCGGTGGACAGGGGGACAGAGGGGATGGTGGGCAGGGGGGCAGCGGGCAGAGGGGCCCAGGGGCCGGCGGGCAGGCAGGGGGCAGGGGGGCAGGGGGCAGGGGAGCAGGGGGGCAGGGGGCAGAGGGGCCCAGGGACCGGCGGGCGGGCAGGGGGCAGGGGGGCAGGGGGTGCAGGGGGGCCGGCGGGCGGGCAGGGGGGCAGAGGGGCAGGGGGGCAGGGGGCAGGGGGGCAGGGGGTGCAGGGCGCAGACCCGAGCCCGGCGGCGCAGTCACTCCGCCTGCTGCCCGGGCCTCGCCCCCGGGAGCTCGGCCTCGGGCTGGAGCCGACCCGGCCCCCGCCCCAGCCGCCGGGGAGACGCAGGGACAGACCCGGCGGAGCGCGTGGGCGGGGTGGGCGCGATGCCCCCGCCGGGCTGACACTCGCCTGGGCCGAGGCGGGGACGGAAAAAGTGAGTGGAGGCGGCGGCGGCGGCGGCGGCGGGGGGCGCGTTCCGGGAAGGCGGCGGCGCGAAGTGCTGAGGCCGCTCCCCGCGCCGGGCCCGCCGGCCAGGACGCGCCGCGGCCGCCGCTTCCTCCCGCCCCTGCGCCGCTGTCTTATCGGCCGATCTGGGCTGTGCTGCGCCGACTTCATCAATCGAGTTTCCTCTTGAACTGGGGCCTTTCCGATGCCCCGATGGCCTCTCTTCCCTTCTGACAGGACCCGCTTGGCCCCCCGTCGGGTCCCCCTGCACACGCCCCACAGACAGGCCTGTCCTGGTCCCAGCAGCGTGGTCCCCGAGTCCCCCCAGCGCCCCAGCCAGGCCCCAGCTGCTTCCGCTGCCTCCCCGCCCCGCCCAGTCCTCTGTGACCCTAGAACCCGCGCAGAGTGAGGTTCATATTTTCGCCAGTTGGCCCCCCAGGTATTCCGGGGGGTCCATGGCTGAAGGGCACAGGGTCGCTAACTGCGGGAGTCACCGGGGTCCCCCAGCAGCCTGGTCCAGCTCCGGGTTGACAGGTGGGAAGAGTGTAGCCTGCGCGTCTCAGGCAAACCGAACACGCCTTCGTGGTTCAGGGGTGTGCGCACAGCTGAGCATGTGGGGTGAGCGTGTGTGATGTGTCCTGTCTGGTCACACCTCCTGCCCCTTCCCATCGCACCTGCTCGCTGCTATTTCTGCTCGTTTCTGCACGACACCCACGTCTTCGCCGGCGCCTGCCCTGCCCAAGTGCTCGGTCTCCTCCTGGTGCCAGTGACGGCGGTTCCCCACGTGTTCTGTCTGGGGGGTTCTCTTCTACACTCACCTCCCTGCACTGAGCTTTCGGCAGGTGAGCGGCAAGGTGGGGGCAGCAGGGGGTCCCAGGCCCCTCCTCCAAGTCCGCCTTCTGCCCCAGGGCGTCCAAGCCTGTCTCTCCACGAGTTACCCCTCTGCTGTTACCCCTCTGCTGTAATCGAGGTGGGTTTAGAGCTGACAGAGCGAGTCTTTCACTTTCTCTTCATGGCTTTCTTGGCTGTTACTGGCTCGTGTTTCCACGTGAACTTTACAGATCAGATATGTGGGTTTTTTTTTTTTTTTTTGATCCCATTAAATTGGTAAATGAACCCAGGAAAAACTGATGCCTCAGCCGTGTCGAGTCATCCTGACCGGGTGTGTGTTCCCGTCAGCCGGGCCCACACCAGCGCTCCTGCGGGTTTGCACGTTTCTCGATAACTGTGCGTCTCGGGCATTTCATCTTCTCTGTTCTGTGGTAGCCGGAACATCTCTATCACACTTTCTGCTAACGGATGAGGCTTTGAATATATGACAGCCCTCCTTCGGGGTGTTAATTTTACATCTGCTCTTTGCCCGGATTTTCTTGTTGCTGTCGTGTTTTCCCGGAACCCAAGGATGGTCCAGGCTCAGGCATCATTGTAGACTTCCCCGGGCTGTGTTCCCTCCCGCTCGCAACCTCGCCGGCATCCTTGCCTCTTCCTGGGTGGGTGGCTTCCCCTCCCACCCCACCCAGGACAGGACCCAGGGTGCCAGGCGCAGTCTGTGAGCTCAGAGGGCTGGGGAGCTGGCAGGGCTTAAATGGGGCTCACTGGGGGAGGGGGGACAGGTTGGGGACATCTGTCTTTGAAGCCAGGGAACCGGCATGGTGGTGTCATGTCCAGTCTAGAGGACAGACCAGGCCTTCTCTTTGCAGGCTGCACCCTGAACCTGCTGCCTGGTAGCTTGTGCCGCCCACCCACTGCCTGGCCTGACCCCTACCCAGGAGGGACCCCGAGGGGGTGGGGACTCATAGGGGCTGCAGCACAATCGCTCAAGGTCACCCAGTGCCAGGTTGAGGTGGTCTGCAGGCAAGGTACTGAGGGGCCCAGTGGCCCCCAAAATCAGAGGCTGAGGGTATGAGTGTAGGGGAGCAGAGATAAGGGGCCTCAGGGGGCCTGTGTGTTTCCGGAATAATGACAGCGAGGACCAGAGCCCTCCATCTGCCCGGCATCAGCGGGGCCTCCCTCTCCTCCCCTCATTGCCTGTGAGCAAGACAGCGCCAGGGGCTTTTCTCGAGCTTACGTCATTATTTAATTATAATAAAATAGAATGGGAAAGGGTCTCTCAAGTGTGTGTGTAGCCTACCAGGGACACCTGCTTCTGAGCCCCATGCCCAGGTGCCCACTGACCACCCCACTGTGTGTGCGGTGGGCGAGAAGAGGTCTTTAAATAGCACCGTGAATGGGCATGGGCACCGAGGAGGACGCAGTCCAGGGCGCTGCCCACTTGCTGTGGCTGGGAACTCCTCCTCGGCCTGGGGAGAACCAGGCTTTTGCATGTCCCCCTGGCCCCTCGAGGCGTGTGTTGGAGTTCCTCACGGCAGAGGCACCTCACCGGCTGCTGGGGCGGAGTCTGCAACCAGAACCCCTGTGCCCCACGTCCAGGCACCAGTCTCGGAGAAGCCCCCCTGCCACCCAGGAGGGCGTGTGGAGGCGCAGAGCAGCAGTTCAGGAGGGACTTGGCCAGCTCAGCGGTGTCTGCCTCTGGAGTCTTGGATGAGTCTCCTCTCCTCACCCCGATGGGACAGGGTCTCTCCTGCGCCCAGGTCCCTCGAGGATGCAGAGGAGAGCCGGGCAGGGCTGACACGGTGCAGGAGTGTGACCCCTACAGGGCTCAGCCCATGGCCACCCCGGGTCTGAAGGCCATAGGCCTGCAAGTTGCTGTCAGAGGGGCCAGGAGCAGTGTCCATCCTCTAGCCTCAGAGGCGGGGGCCCCTGGGGGCTGTCGGCAGAGGCCCTGCGGCTGGTGTAGTCTGGTCTGCCAGGGAAGACGATGGTGGCATATTCTGTCTGTTCGGGGACACAGGGGGCGGGGGGCTCTGGGGTCTTCTCCCGAGACTGGAAGTCCAGCTCCCCATAGTCCACGGAGAACACAGGTCCTGTGGAGGGGCCCTCCTTCTTAGGGGGAGAGAGAGAGGAGTCAGCACTGATTGGTGAACACACACACACACACACGTGTGCACCCACAGACACACACAAACACGTGTACCCACAGGCGCGCGTACACACACACACACACACACACACAGTGGGGCAGCTCTGAGCCTCATGACCCATCCTGGGGCCCGGGGCCCCATGCTCAAACAAGAGCTGCTCCTGCCACCCACCCCTGGAGCAGTCGCCTGTCCCCCCTTTTCCCACAGTGTCCTCAGCACCATCACCAGGAGGGGACAGACACTCACCAGAGGCTGGTCCTCACTGCAGCAGGCACAGGCTCCTGCAGAAAACACGGGGTGTCAGGCAGCTGGGGGGCCCAGGCAGAGGGCCCGGGAGGGGAGTCTCTGCAGGGGCGGGGTTGGGAAGGCCTCTGGCCATGGGAAGGGCCCTAAGCCTTCTGGCCTTGGTGGCCAAGCACCCTCCAGGTCTGCCCACACTGCCCTGGCAACCACCTAAGCTCCTGATCATTTCCAAGTGTCCTGTCTGGACCTGAGCTGTCTGTGTGCTCGGCCACCTAGGACTGTTGGCCACCTTGGACAGCTGGCTTTCAGGCCTAATGTTCCTGCTGTCGCAAACCCGGCCGAGCCTGGCACCAAGTGCAGAGCACCAAATGCACCCTGGGCCCCCAGCTGGCACCACAAAGCGCACAGCAGACACCCTGACCCATGCTGCACAGTGTCTCCACCTGTGACCAGCGCCTGGGGCACACAGCATGTCTCAAAAATACCCGAAGGAGGAAAATGTGATCCCTGGAGAAATGAGCCCTACAGGGCCTGGCCTGGTAGGTCAGTGCAGCCGCTGTCGCCAGTCACTCGGGGAGAGAGTGTGGAGGCCCGTGGCTGCCCTGCCAAGGCCCCTGTGGGGTCTCCCGCTGTTGCCACAGGACCCCTGGCTGCCGTCCAGGGAGAGCGTGACCAGAGTTCCTGATGTGTGGGGCCTGCACAGGGGCTAACCTAACCCTGGGCTGCACCCCTCTGGGAGGTGGCCCCTTTTTCTAGCCGGAGCGATGTCCACCCTTCGTCAGAGTGACTGAGTAAGGACCAGCTGCCTGGGACCACCCTGTCAGGGTGTGTGGGGGTGGGGCACTCGCAGCCTCCCGCCTGGTGGTCAGAGGTGGCTACGGCTGTCTGCAGCCCCCCAGTGGCTACTAGAAGCACTGTCACAGTGTCTTGTGGTCTGAGGTGCAGCCTGAGGTTTGGGGGTGGCCTTGGGCAGCCACACAGGTGCCTCAGCCTGGGGAGCGCTCCTTGCCTTTCTGTGTGACCTCGACAGCTGCCTCCCCGACTCTCCCCGAGAGCATGGCTCTCTGAGAGGACCAGGCCCTGGCAGGGCCGCTCCACCCCCTTCTCGGTGGCCCTCACTGTGGAGGGCAGGGGGGCAGGGCAGGGGGGCAGGGCTGGTGGACAAGGCCTTGGGCTTCACCTGGCTGGGACAGTGTGGGGTTGGCTGGGGCATTACCTCGTGTGGCCCTGGGGAAGTTGGTGACTAGGACCCAGGCCAGCAGCAGAAGCAGCAGGATGCTCACCAGGACGCTCGTGACACCGATGACCAGGCCCTGTACCTGGCCTGGGGGTCTGGGAGGAAGGCCGGGGCTCTCTGTGGGCGGCTCCAGAGTTCTCTCTAGAGACCAAAGACAGAGTCTCAGGCATTGGGACAGGGACAGGGACTCAGGGCGCTGCCTGCCCAGCCTCAGGCGGCCTGCACACCTCATTCGGAGAGGCAGTGGCCACATGTTGCTCCCGCAGGGCCAGTGGGTCTAGGGCGATTTCAAGCACAAAAACCTGAGGCCACTGGTCCCCGTGTCCTGGGTGTGGGACAGGGTCCTGGAGTGAGGCTTGGAGGGCCCCTGCCCACTGGCCTGACAGGCCTCCCAGGCCCTTCCCTGCCCTGCGCACCCGTCCTCATACTCACCCCTGCCCTCAGCCTCCCCCGTCCTCAGCCTCCCCCGTCCTCAGCCTCCCCCTTGCCCCCAGCCTCCCGCCTGCCCTTAGCCTCCCCTGCCCTCAGCCTCCCCCCTGCCCTCAGCCTCCTCTGCCCTCAGCCTCCTCTGCCCTCAGCCTCCCCTGCCCTCAGCCTCCCCCCCGCCCCCAGCCTCCTCTGCCCTCAGCCTCCCCTGCCCTCAGCCTCCCCCCTGCCCCCAGCCTCCCCTGCCCTCAGCCTCCCCGCTGCCCTCAGCCTCCCCCGCCCTCAGCCTCCCCGCTGCCCTCAGCCTCCCCCGCCCCCAGCCTCCCCGCTGCCCTCAGCCTCCCCCGCCCCCAGCCTCCCCCGCCCCCAGCCTCCCCCGCCCTCAGCCTCCCCGCTGCCCTCAGCCTCCCCCGCCCCCAGCCTCCCCGCTGCCCTCAGCCTCCCCCGCCCCCAGCCTCCCCCGCCCTCAGCCTCCCCCCGCCCTCAGCCTCCCCTGTCCTCAGCCTCACCTGTGCCCTCAGGTCTCAACTCTGCACCTATCACCACGAGCTCTGCGCGGGGGCTCTCGAGGATCTGCATCGGGGGGGACAGGTAGATGGCCCCGCAAAGGTAGACGCCGCTGTCGTTGCGCTGGGCGGTGAGGACGCTCATTCTGAAGTCCCGCCCGCTGGGCAGCCGAGTCACCTGGAAGCGCCGGTGCCTGTGGGCCACCGTGCTGTCCGCGGGGAAGGCGGCCAGCTTGTCCGTCTGGTTGCTGGGGCTCATGCGGTACCAGTTGAGCACAAAGCCCCCAGACATGTGGGAGAGGCTGCAGGTGAAGGTGGCGGTGTCCCCCTCGGCCACGGTGAGCTGGGGTGGGTTGAAGGTGAGGGGACTCCGGGGCCGGTGGGTGGTTTCTGGGGGTGGAGAGAGCCAGCAGGCCTGAGGAGGGGTGCGCGGCAGCCCCCCGAGCTCTCCTCCCACTTCCCACACCCGGTCAGCCGGGGAGGTTAGGGAGGCCCAGCCATGCTGGGGTCCCCTCCGCAGAGCCTCTGCCACGGGGCCTGGCAGCTCCCCCTTGACACACCCGGCACGTCACCAGGTGACACTGTGGTGGGGTCCCATGCACTGATTATGTTCTGGCCCCAGCTGTGTCTGGGCTGCCCCTGGCTCTGATCCCAGCCCCCCCAGCCCTATTTCTCCCCCAAGTGGTGGTTTAGGGCCTCCCACCCCCTCACTGACTCCAGGTTCCCACTCTGCACCCCAGATCTCTGAGCTCTGCCCTGTGCTGGGGGCGGGGATGGGCTCTGGGCTGGACCAGCAGGGCCTCCATGGGGAGCCGAGCGCCAGGGGCTCAGGGACCAGCCTTCGCCCCTTCTCAGGACGAGCCCAGAGCTGGGCCCTCACACGAGCACTGGTGACCCGGGCAGTGTGGGGCCCTTGTGTCTTCTGCCCAGGCTCCGGGTCAGAGGCCAGCTGGGCTTCCGCCCCACACGCCCTGAACGAGGCCGCCCCACAGGAAGGGCTCCGTGACTCAAGAACACACGCTCGGCTGTGCTCTCCCCTCCCCGCACGAGTCCACGCTCACGTCGTGGTTGCTGCCTGGCTGTGCGCCCGTCCTGCTCAGCTGTGTGCCGAGCGGGATGACCCTGCCCCGTGCGAGGCCTGCCTGGTGAAGGGACACTGTCCCTTGAGTCAGTGCCGCATCAGTGCAGTGTGACCAGGACACCCTCTCCCTGTCTGCACTGGGCACCTCACCCGGGGCAAAGTCGCAGATATTTAGAGCCCAGGTGGGTCCTGAGGTGTTCCCAGTGTCCTGACATTTCTGTGGTCCTGCTCAGGGACATATAAGACCTTCTCCCCCCGCCCCCCCATTTCTACTGAGGACACTGGTTTGGGGAGGCCAGGGCCCAGCCAGCCTGGGCCTCCTGCCCTGTCGACAGGGGGCCTGGAGGGGTTCAGGCCTGGACTGGGGATGGCGGGGGCAGGTGGGTCCTCGGGAGGGGGCACACAAACACCTGTGGGGACACAGCCAGACCTTCTCTCATTGTGCCCAAACCTCCCGCAGGCCAGGCCTGCTCCCCTTGGCAGCGTAACACCCCTCTTCTCACTATGTTTGGGAAGCAAGTTCTTTTTAAGAAAGTGGGTGTCGGCGCCAGCCTGCGTGCCCCTCACACCCACCAGGGAGGCCTAGTCTGGCTGGCACCGCCCTAGGTCACTGTCCCACCCCTTTGCTGAATCCATGTCTCCACCCAGGTCCAACCGACCAGGGCCCCACTCTCCTGGCTGGGCCCCTCCCCCAAGCTCCCCTGAGGGCGCCCCTGCTGTGCACGGAGCCCCTCCCCACAGTCACTCTGCTGAGCCCCAGAGCCTGCTCTCGCCCTGTATGGAGGGGGCGCCCTGTTTCTCTTTGGTTTGGGATTTCATCTGACCTGCCCCAACCTTAATCTGTGAGTCAATTGTCTGTTGGCTCTGAATTTGACAGGTAGTCTCTGTCCTGCTGCCTCATGAGTCTCTTGTTCATCACAAAGGGAAAATGAGCTTTAATCTCTTTTACTGTGGGCCCGGAGAGAATGTCCCCATTGTGGGGTCTCCGAGGGCTGCCCCAGGAAGGGCCAGCACATCTGTGATCTTCCATGACCCAACACCTGACACACCCAGGTGGTGGCGCCTGGACCCTCCCAGAATATGCCAGGACTGGCAACAAAGTCAAACATGGACACGTGGGACCACGGCGAACTGCAGGATTCTGCACAGCGGAGAAGCCGTCCACGAAATGGAAAGACAGCCTCCAGAACGAGAAACATACCTACGAATCACATATCTGATACGTTATGTATCATATAACAGACAAGGTATGTAAAGAGCCCATACAACTCAAAAGCAAAAAAATGAACAATCTGATTACAAAGTTGGCAAACCACCCGAACAGGCATTTTCTAACGGTGGAAATACAGAAAGCCAATCACGTATAACAAGATGCTCATCACTAATCATCAGGGACATGCAAGTAAAAACACGGAGATGCTGCCTCGTACTTGTTAGCATGGCTTTTTCAATAAATCCACAGACAGGTGCGGCCGAGGATGTGGAAAAAGGGAACCCCTGAGTGCCCTTGGTGGGAATGCCACTCGGTGCAGCCACTGTGGACAACAGTAGGGATTTCCCTCAAAAAATCAAAAATAGAGCTGCCACCTGACCCAGCAAGCCCACGTCCAGTGCTTATCCGAAGAGAACAAGCAGAAGAGAAGGACACGAGCTTGCCCAGCCACGCCGGGAGCAGCCTGTGTGCCCACAGACGGACAGGTGCATGAGGAAGCTGTGTGCCTCCACACAGCGGAACATCCCTGGTGATAAGAAAGAACACAGTCTTACCATTTTGATAACCTGGATGGACCTTGACGGTGTTATGCTAAGTGAAATGTCAGACAGAGAAAGACAAATGCCATATGATCTCACTTACATGCGGAATCTAAAATAAAAACAAACAGAACAAAAAGCTCGTGGATACAGAGAACAGATGGGTGGTTGCCAGCGGTGGGGATGGGAGAGTGAAGGGTCCAGAGATAGAAACTTCCAGTTATAAGATGAGCAAGTCCTGGGGTCATGTGCAGTGTGGTGACTATACTGAATACTGGACAATCCGCCTGTTCAGTCCATGGGTTCCACATCCATGGACTCAACCAATCTCGGATCAAAATATTCAAAAGAACCAAAACCCCCAGAAAATTCCAAAATGCAGAACTTGAACTTGTCACGTGCTGAGCACTTGCTGAGACCATGGGAAGCAGGCGATGTGTGGGTGCACCCGCTGATGGGACATGCAGATGCGACGCCCGTTTATAGAAGGGCCCTGGGCATCCTTGGATTTCCAACGGGTGACCACCATTATTTATTTAAATGTTACCTCTTCCCATAGCTTTTGGCCAGAACTCGCAGAACGGCCGTGGTGACTACCTTGGACCTTGAAGATACGTTTTTTCCCTTTACCTCACATAGAACTTTTTTTTTTTTTAATTTATTTTTTTTTTATCCTCACCCGAGGACATTTTTCCATTTTTTGTTCAGGTACAGTGAGAGGGAGAGAGAGGAACAGAGAGAGAGAGAGAAACATCGATGTGAAAGGGACACATCGAGTGGCTGCCACCCGCACAACCGACCAGGGCTGGGGACAAACTGCAACCGAGGTACACGCCCTTAGCGGGAACCGAACCCGGGTCTCTCAGGACCGCAGGCCGACGCTCTTACCGCTGAGCCAAACCGGCCAGGGCCACATAGAACTTTTTAAAAACGAAACAAAACAGCCTAGAATCGGTTAACACATAAAATGTAGATGTCACACGAAAATGTGAGTATCTGACCTGTCCCTACACGTCAGGAAATCCACAGCCTCTTCCGCGAGCGCGGGCGCTGGCCAGGACACCCGGCCCCATCCAGCGGTGGCCTACCCCGGATGCCTTTTTCTATGTCTGGAAATCTTTAGTCTAGTTAGGAAAATATGATCGTGTTAGGTGTGAGTCAGTAAGAGCTCTCCGGGTGGTGGCTTCTAGAAAGGGAGGAACAGGAGAGCGAGGATTTCCAAGATGTGTGCCCGTCCCGTGCGGCTGGGCAGGAAGTCTGGACCTCAGAGGTCACCTTCGACGACTTTTTGGTTCAGTCTCCGTACACACCAGTAGGTGCAGAATTGCTACCTCTTATCTCGGTGGGAAACTCCGTTTCGAACGAGACAGTGTGTCTGTGCAGTGTAAGGGGCGTGGCCAGAACCCAGTGAGTCTGGGACCCACCCCGGGCACTGAGGCTACAGCACATTTGAAAGCAGCCACGAGAGTGGGTCTCGAAAGTTTTCACTGTTCAGGGACGGCTACTGACCAGCTCATCACTTCCCAGTATGGACAAACCCCGAATCCTCAGTGCACCTGGGGTCATCGGTGCAGCATCACTTGTACCTCAGCACAAATATTCCCGTTCTGAGGCTTCCCGTGTGCGAAATAAAATCGAGATTTGAAAGAAAAGAAAGAACTCCAGGGCATGTGCACACAGAGGCACGGCCTGCTCTGGTCAGAGGCAGCTGAGGACCGTGACCGCCAGACACGCAGGCAGCGCCCCACTGGGCTCCGGCCGAGGGACATCTGACCTCAGGCCTCGGGGAGCTACCGTCCTGGGAGGAGGGGGCGTCTGTGGCATGATGAGAGCATCCTGTCCTGTGTGGCTCAGCCCAAATCTCAGTGACATGAGCAGGTGGGACTTGGGCCCAGACTGACAGGCCGAGTCCTGACCCAGCACCTCACTGTGGTCTTATGTGGAAACAGGTGGTTGTATGTGCTGTTGTCTGGAGAGTGGCCTTCATTTAGCATGACTGTATCCTTCGAAGAAGAAGGACATCTGGACAGACACACATAAGAGAGACCATGTGAAGACAGAGGAGAGAGGGGGTGATGTTCAAGCCAAAGGACGAGCAGGATGGATGGCCACCAGTAGGAGATGAAGAGTCCGGGGACCGGATTCCTGTCTGGCCCCTGGATGAACCAGCCTGACCGACACCTGGATCCCGGCTTCCAGCCTCTGAGTTGTGAGGCCGTGAACCTCGGTAGAGAAGCCTCCTGGTCTGAAATTTTTTTTTTTGGTACATGCCCCTCGCAGAAACCGAACCCGGGACTCTCTGGTCCGCAGGCCGATGCTCCAACCGCTGAGCCAAACCAACCAGGGCTGTAACTCTTTTTAAAAAAATGTTTTTTGGTAATCCTCACAAGAAAATATTTTTCTATTTATCTTCAGATAGAGTAGGAGGGAGGGAGAGAGAGAGCGAGAGAGAAACACTGATGTGAGAGAGACACATCCACTGGCTGCCTCCCACACGACCCCAACCAGGGCTGGGGATGAACCGAAACCAAGGTGCGTACATGCCCTTGACCGGAATCGAACCCGTGACTCATGGTCTGCGGGCCGACACTCTAACCACTGAGCCACACCGGCCAGGGCTGCTTTTGTAACTCTTCTGAGTGTTTCAAATAGTTTTTAAAACTGCAATTTGAAAAAAATAAATAAAACAGTCTGACTTAAAAAAGATGTCACAGAGAGGTCTCTTACCACCCGAGACGACACGGAGGGACCTGGAGAGCACTTTGCGGAATGAAACAAGCCAGTCGGAGAAAGACAAGCACCGCACGGTCTCACTTATTGATGAAGCACAGTAAGCACAATAAGCTGCCCATCGAAAGAGATCCAGCGACATGGACGCAGGGAACAGACGGACAAACCCCAGGGGGATGGGGGTGTGCTGGGGTTGAGATGAACCAAAGAACTTATATGCACAACCGCGAGCACAGACGCTGGGTGGGGAAAGCAGGAGGGGTGGGAGCGGGAGGAGGGGGTCAATGGGGAAAAATGCGGGGACTTCTGTAATACTTTCAACAATGAAGATAAAAAGATAAATAAAAAGGGGAAGAAGATAATTAGCTAAAACCAAAGAGCAGAGGAGCTGGACAGTGGCGATCATGTTCCTGGCCTCCACCAACATGGGTCATGAGCAATGTCATTTACCTTGTGAAATTTATCTGACATTCTCACTTTATTGAAAGAATTTTAGACCTAAGGACTAAAGTAATGCCAGGTGCACACAGGGGTGTGTCACTATTCAAAATAACTCATTTCTTCCCCTTTCTCGCCATGTGATTACAATGCTATTAATTTAAAAAAATCGTGTCATGGGCTGTGCCGGACAGTTTTCTTCAGTGACCTGATTTGGTTTTCGCGACCTCGAGGGCAGGCCTCACTGCCCCTAACTGCGGGTTCGAGAGGGTGAGTGAGCCGCTGAGGGTCAGGAGCTTAGACCCGGCTACTCTCGTTCACTGCAGAGGGCGTGAGGGGCTGCTGCTGGGTTTGCACAGTTCATCAGATGCGGGGAGAACATGCCCATGAGGAGGGGTTTCCACGGGAATGACCAGACTCACAAACACAGCGAAGGAATCGCATGGACGACCTGGAGCAGAGAGCCCCGTGGCCGGAGTGCCCAGTGCGGGAGAGGGCAGGAGGGCACCAGGCCGCGGCATCGCTGCGCTCTGTGCGGAGCCCAGGTCACAGGTGGGTAAACCGAGGCACCCTGAGTGTGAACATCTCGTCCCAGGCGCAGGAGGACGCATCTGAACCGGGAGGGTCTGACTGTGGAACCTGATTCCCTGCTCTGGGGAGGGGTCCTGGTGGGGACCAGCCCCGGGGCAGGGGTCTCAGCCCCCTTGACTCTTCAGGCCCTCCTCCCAGGGGGTGTGCACCCCTTCTGCTCCTGAGCCTGGACAAGACACGTCACTTGGCCTCAGGCCCTGGATCACTGACCCCAGCGTAGAGTTTCTCCATGGACCCTGAGGTCTTCCTGAAGAGCGAGGCCACACTGAGGGGGAAAAGCTGGGCTGTCTGGTGCCCCCATCATCACCAGGCAGACCCTGGAGGGGCACAGTGACTGAGAGCCCTTGGGCCCCAGGACTCCAGATGCCAGGGCACCTCCACCTCATCTTGGCCCTTCCATGGGCCCCCACGCCCCCATCCCAGCGAGGTCCAAAGGAAAGGCCTTGGGCTGGACATGGGGGACCCACCTTTCCCAGTTCGCATCTGCACAGTGCTTGCCGAGGATGGGGGTGGGTGGTCAGCCAGGAGGAGCCCGGCTCCCTGACCCTCAGACTCTGACCATGGCCTGCGGGGCCTGTCCAGTGAACGGCTCATACAGGGGACTCAGGACCAGGGTCCCCTGGCCAGAACCTGCCGTGGACACTGTGGGCCATGTCCAGACTGCACCTGGGCATCTTATCCAGACACCTCAGGCAGGTGCCCGGAGGCCCTGAGGGGGTGGGGAATGGTCTTTACTCACAAGGTTACTTTAGATACAACGAGAGTCAATCTCTGGGCCATCCAGCCTGTCCCCTCAGGAGCCCGTCCGCCCCGTGAGGCTGGTCCACCCCAGGGAAACACAAGTGGGGCAGCCGGGCCCAGGTTGGGGTTCGTGCCAGCCCAGCACTGTCACCCTACAGAGAGAGGCACAGGTTTGCCGCCCAGACGGTCATAGAGGAGCCTCACCACCAGGTGAGCCCAGAGAGGGCTCTTCCCTGGCCCAAAGCCAGAGCCACACAGTCCCCCCCAGTCCCAGAGACCTAGGGCTTGACCCCAGGCCTGCCCCTGCCCGCCAGCCTTGCCCCACCTACCTAGGAGCCATCCTGGCCGCCAGCCCAGCAGCAGCACAGCCCAGAGGAGCGGCCAGGGCGCCCAAGGGGTCCCCATGTCTGGAGCGCCAGGGGCCTGCGGCTCCTCTCCGCCTCGCTCTGCACACGGAAGGGAAACTGTTTCCCTCAGGCTGAAGGTACACGCCCCGCCCCCTCTTCCTCCTCCTCCACGGGGTGGGGGAGTGAGGGCAGGGGGAGGGGCAGGGAGCGGCAGAGTAGGGGGAAGGGGAGGGAGGTGGGAGGGAGAAAGAGAGAAATACAGAGACGGAGGATGAGGGAGAGAGAGAGAGGCAGGTGGAGGAGAGGGCACCTGGCGCACCCCCCCCAACCCTGCTTGGGGGTCTGTCCTCCTGGAAAAACTTTGTTTCTTTATCTGGGATTGCCTCTTTCCTTTTCTATAGGATGGGGGGTGACTCTTTCCTCCCTCCCCTGCGACCCTCCTGTCTGTGGGAAGGTGAGCCCAGCTCTGGACCGAGGCCCCCAGGCAGCAGTGAAGGGTGGGCTCCACCTCCTGCCCAGCCCAGCTGCCTCCTCTGTCGTGCCCTGGTGGCCACAGTGTTGGAACCCACCAGCTCTGCCCCTGAGGGCGCCAGGCAAATGTCTGGCCAGACCTCTGTGACCCCCACCCAGCCACCCCTCTGGGCAGTGGGCAGCGAGCAGCGCAGGCTGGTCTGGCCAAGGGCTTGACCGGCCTTCCTGCTCCTGGAGGGACAGGGGCCCCCCCGGCTGCAAGGTCACCTGCCTGGGCCAGGGCACTTCTGCCAGGCCCTCCTGAGACCCTGGTCCTGGCTGCCCTGCCTCCCCTGGGGACCTTGCCGCTGGCTCCCTGATGCAGGACATGGGGTGCCAGCACCCCTCAGCCTCAGGCTTCCAGAGGGCCCCACGGCAGGCTGGGCAGCCCATGGCCAGGTCCTCCTGTCAGCCTGCAGTGCGGGGCTCAGCCTGTGAGGCGTCACAATCCCCTCAGGCCCCCCCGCCCCCCCACTGCTCGGGTTGGGGGGTGGTCCTGGGGTCCCAGGGGACTGGCCTGATGTTTGTGAGAGAGTCTTGCTCTGAGCGTTTTATGATAGTGAATGGAAAACAGGGAAAAAAAACTGCTGATATTAGTGTGCAGTGCGGTCTCATCAGCTTAAAATAACGGAGACAGAAACCCAGAAACCGCCTGACAGCTGTCGCCACAGGCACGGGCTCCCAGGCCAGGGCGCTGAGAAGGGAAAACATGAAAGAGCACAACCGGTGGAAACAGAGCATCAGAGATGATGTCTGCAGGCGGAGAGCGGAGAGCGAGCGGCGGGAGGCTCCAGGGTAGAACAAAGGGCCACTCCCCACGTGGGTGGCTGCAGGGCCCCAGGGGGCCTGCCGGCAGAGAGCCCCCTCAGGGGGCTGGCGCTGTGCAGGTGGGGGCGCTCAGCTGGGGGCTGGGGGCTGTGGCCAGGTCAACGTGAGGGTCCCCAGGCACCAGCCAGCAGGGAACCAGATACTTCAGCTCAGTCCAGGCTTGTCCAGCACACAGCCCTCCGCTCCCGTGGGCTGACCAGGACAAGCTGTCTTCTGAGGACCTGGGCTGAGGGGCCGTCGGGGAGGGTGGGGCTGTGCTCTGGTTGGGAGAGGCTGTGACTTTATCTGCAAGAGCTTGGCGATGATGTGTCCAGAGAGAGGCCAAAAGTCAGGGATGACTGAGTCCCTCCTGTCCACCTCCCTGGTCTCCGCTCTGTTTCCCCTCCCCCTCCATCCTGTCCCCTTCCCCTTCCGCTCTGTTTCCCCTCCCCCTCCATCCTGTCCCCTTCCCCTTCCCCGTCCCCTCCTTCCCTGGTTTATGTCTCTCTCTTCCCTAGAACCCCTTCCTGCTTGGAGTGGTGGCTGCGTGGGGGATGCAGACAGGAGGCTGACGGGGGGGGGGGGGGGGGGGGCACTTGGGCCCTGGGAGGTTCTGGGTTGGCAGGGTTGTATGGAGGTCAATGAGGGGACACAGAGACTGTGAGTGGAGGTGGAGACATGGACCTGGAGGTCCCCTGGGGTGCTCAGGGCCAGCCGGTGACTGGATCAGAGCCTGGATCAGGGGCCAGCACAGGCAGGACAGGGGACAGGAGGCCCAGGTTATCTTGGGGTGCCACATGCCAAGGTGAGCTCCCCACTGCTTATCAGCATATTATGCCCCTAAACACACACCAGCCCCCACCACAGGGCCCTCCTTCCCCATCTTCATTAGGGGCAGGACAGGGTCTTGGTTGGAGGAAGGCGGAAGGTCAGGGGCTCCATCTGCCCCTTTTCTGTGTCCCCTGCTGGCTGGCCCTGTCCTCCCTGCCCTGTGTCCTGGCTTCACCTCTTAGGTTTGGGAAGTCGCATCTGGGGTCACCGCCAGGCTGACCCCTCTCTTTCTCTCACTTCTAACCCTCTCCAATAAGCAGGTGCGGGCAGGGCTGTCAGAGTGGGGTGTCCCCTGGAGAAGGGTCGTAGCTCTCAGGGCTCCCATGAGTGTGGGAACTGCCGCATCCGGCCTCAGGGAGCCTGGGCAGCCCCGCACCCCACAGCCAGGACTCTGGCACTCACCCTGCGCCGACCTGCTCCCTGCCAGGGACTTCCTCTGTGCGTGTTTGCTGTGCGTGTGTGGGGGCGCCACCACCCAGGGGCGTCATGGCCTCCCCCAGTCTGTCCACTCTGTGGCTTTGTGCCTGTGATGCATGTACCCGAATGGGCCATGTGTGGCCTGTTGGGATGCGCTCCATGGCCTTGAGGGCTTTGTCCACGAGCACTTGTCCCGTGGGCTTTTCAGGGGAGCAGAGCTCAGGGTGGCTGAGCAGCTGCCTGGCCCTTCCCGTTGGGCTGCGGTGACCATGCTGCTGGGCATGTGGGTTTGTGGTGTCCGTGCACTGTCAGCCTTTATACAGATGGTCTGTGGTGGGCGCTGGGTGCTGAGAAGTGCATGTTCCTGCGCCTGTGGTCACTGTGGCTGCGTCTCGGGACCCAGTGACAAAGTGCAGGAAGCGAAGGAAGCAAGGGGCCGGGCCCTTGCAGGGCAGCACCCTCCTCCTTGCAGGAGGACCCTCAGGGCTGGAGACCTGCCCGGGGCTCCCAGCCTCTGGTCTGGGGACAGGCATGCTAGAGTTTCCAAGGCACCAGCCCAAGGTGATCTGAGCCAGCAGAGATGGAAAGTGGGCGAGAGGGGATCCCCCGCGCTCTCCGGAGGCAGTTTCCATTCTCGAAGAAACACAGGAAGCAGCAGGATCATCCTGAAACTGCTTCTGAGGAGGCTGGTGGGGTGATGTCAGCGACCCTGTCCCCACCGGGAGGGTGGGACCCGCCACTGGCCAGCACCTTCACAGCTACTGCTGAGGTCGGAACAGGAAATGGTTAATAGTGTTTGCAAATAAAAACTTTCTGTTCCATCTTGTTTCTGAAGCATTTCCCAGAAATCAAAAAAAGGTTCCTAATTTATCTTCACAATTCAAGAGCCAAAATTTTTAAAGTTAGACATTTCTTTATTCTTGCTTATTGACCATCAGCTTAACACTGCAGAACTTTTCCAATCACCGTGACAATTATTTCTTCCCTCCCCCCATATTCTTGATAATGAACTTTTCAAGGAAAGTCATGCTCTCTTCTCTCTTCTGTATGGAACTTTATGAATAAGGGGGTCTTGCTATCAATGCTGCCCCGGCTGCAAAGCAGCGTCTGCCGGCTCCCTTCACAGTCCAGGTCCTGAGGCTCTTGCTCATGATGAATGGTCTCTTCACAAAGCAAGCCCACCACTTTGCTTTGTTGTGGGTCAAAACCTTTCTCACATCGCCGGTGTGGCTCTGGTTGAGCGTTGACCCCTGCACCAGGAGGTCACCGGTTCGATTCCAGGTCAGGGCCCAGGCCCAGGTTGTGGGCCTGATCCCCAGTGGGAGGCAGGCAGGGGGCAGCCAATCGATGTTTCCCTCTCCCTCTCCCTTCTTCTCTCGCTAAAATCAATAAAGAAAAAAAAGTTTTTTAAAACAGAAAAAACTGTCTCAGCCTCAGTCTGGTCTCTTGCTTTAGCTGCTGCAGTCGGGCCCTTGGCACTTTGTCTTCCTGGTTGTCTGCAGGGTTGGCGGGAACTGCGCTGAGCGGAAGACCAGGCTCCCGGGGAGGGAGGACGCGCCGCTCCCAGGGCTCACGCTTCTCGTGCCGCGGCGTCTGGAAGAGTTTCTTCAGAGGACACGGGCCCTGGAGTAACAGCCGGCTTCGTCCACGTGTCTGCACTCTGTCTCTAGGTCCTGTGAGCTGGCTTCTGCCGGGGAACAGTGCCGTGTTCCCGAGTCTGGTGTCGGGTCCGTGGAGCGGTGGTGATCCAGCACCTTGGCGGCACCAAGTGTCACCGAGATGAGCAAGAACCACGTTTTTATTTTTATTTTTTTTTTATTTTTTATTTTTTTATCCTCACCCGAGGATATTTTTCCATTTTTTGTACAGATAGAGTGGGAGGGAGAGAGAGGAAGGGAGAGAGAGTGAGAAACATCGACGTGAAGGGACATATCCAGTGGCTGCCACCTGCACGACCAACCAGGGCCGGGGACAAACTGCAACCGAAGTACGTGCCCTTAGCGGGAACTGAACCTGGGTCTCTCCAGACCGCAGGCCGACGCTCTAACCGCTGAGCGAAACTGGCCAGGGTTATTTTTATTTTTTTATCCTCACCCAAGGACAGACTCATTGACTTGTTTAGAGAGGGGGGGAGGGAGGGAGGAAGAGAAAGAGAGAGGTCCGTGTGAGCGAGAACATCGATTGGTTGCCTTGTGTTGGTGCCCCAACAGGGGACCAACACCACAGCCCTCTGGCACACCCCATCCCACGAGCCGCACCAGCCAGGGCAAGAACCAACTTTAAAAAAATTAAACAAAATATTTTCACCACCTATTATGCACAAGAATAAAGAGAGCTGGTTGCCTTTGTGTTAAGGTGGTGGGGGTCACAGGAGATTCTCACCCTCCTTACTTTCTAGAATACTGTTAGTAGTTTAAATGGGAACTTACAGTTTACATTTCCACATGTGTGTGTTTGTGAGTACATGTGTGCATGTGTAGGTGTGGCGTGTGT